AACCCCCTGCTACACTTTGAATCCCTTGGCCCCAGCCTGCAGCCCCCTCCTCTACTCAAACCATTCACCCCAGCTCCACTGCAGTGGCTGTACCCCTAGTGCAGAGCCCAAACTCTTTCCTACATCCCAGGCCCCTGCCTTGAGCCCCTGCCCCACACAAATGCCCTCTGGGAGTCTGCACCTCCTCCTGCACCCCAAACTTCTTCCCCAGCTCAGAACTCCCTCCCACACACTGGCCCTTCCTTCACCCCAGAGCCCAAACCCTCACCTGTAGTCCTCTCCCCTCCCCACACCCCAGCTACCCTGCTGCCCTAGGTGGTGAAAATGAGCGAGTGAGTGAGGGTGGTGGAACGCGAGCAACAGTGGGATGGAATGAAAGGCGAGTGGGGCAAGGGTGTTCAGTTTTGTGCAATAAGAAAGTTGGCAACCCTCAGTAAGATTGGTGATAGGGAGCTCACTGGTTTTAAATGATGTAAAAATGCCCTTTCAAAGAGGTTTTGAAATAACTTTTTGGCTTTGAAATCTGAAGAGCAAAACCAAAAGATATTTTAGTCTCGGGGAGAGGGTGGGTAGCTGTGTTAGCCTGTGTCTGCAGAAAACAAAGGAATCCTGTGGCACCTTAAAGACTAACAGGTTTATTTGAGCATAAGCTTTCATGGGTAAAAACCACTTTGCCAGATGCATCTAGGGTTGCCAGGTGTCCGGTTTTGAACCAGACAGTCTAGTTTTTGAGGGTTCTGTACTGGAAAAAAATTAAGAAAATACCGGACACATAAAATGTCTGGTATTTTCTAATTAGTTAAGTTTTATATTATTAGGAGTATCAGTACGCAACTATGCGAGAGGGTGGGCGGGGGAGCGGGGCAGGAGGGAATTCTCAGGGCCGGACTCACTCGTGCTTTGCCGGGACCGTGTGCAGGACAGGCAGCGCCCCAGAATCTGCGTGCGCTCAGGTCAGTCCCGCTCCCCACCAGCCGATTCTCTACCCCCACTCCCCGCTCCCTGTGACCCCCTCCCAGCCGCCCTCACCTCCCCTTGG